TCCCCCCCCCCCCCCCGCCCGTTTACGTGGCTACTACCAAACCTTGCTGTTTCCTTCCCTCGTCTCGTCTCTTTCCCACTTGCTGGCGCATTAAGAGGCCGAATCTGCGCGGATCTCGACGAGATCTGCCACGCGACTCTGATTTTGATGGCAGTTTTTGCGCCCGACGGCGGTTTTGTCTTATTTAAATGAGATCCTCGCGGATCGGTTCTTAATTAAGCTACAGGCCGTGTTCTCCGAATACGTATTATGAACAACATGCGCCGATATATAGTTTACTGCTCCACGGAATTCAATGCAAAGATGACATGAAAAGACACAAAGAGAAAAACGTAGAATGTTACTTGATTTCAGAAGTTATCGATTGCTGCGAGGAGATAAAATTTATCGTCGCCAGGTCCACCAATTAATCGAGAAAAGGTTTAAGAAGTATATTATTTGAAGCTTGATGTCGTCAAAATTTTAATAGATTCCGTATCTAATTAAGAATTCTGCAATTGTACAAAGTAAAAGATTCAAACATTAGTCTTAATTTTTGTCTTATAACAAATCATTCTATTGGCACTGTACAGATATGACAGTGCCAGTAAAATGATTTATTAAAATAAATATTAAGAATAAATATGAAAAATATTCGATTGTTGGCGAATATAATTCGGTATATTGACAAAAAATTGAGTCAGAACGTTTGAAAAAGAACTATTTATTAATTATAAATTATGTATCATTTTTTGTTTGACCGTATGTTGTTTTGAATTTTAATATTGCGTTAGTTTCTTCGAACGGACAAACGATTTTTCTTCAAATTACTTGAATGAAATAATTCTTTATTTCACTTCGTGACATGTATGTCAAACAGAATTTTCTAACTCAAATTTGAATGTAACAGTTATTTCTATAATAAAAATAACAAGCTGTTGGAAATGATTCACTGATTCGATCTCATCTGCAAGCGTACCGTAAAATTTCCTTAAAAAGAAAGAAAAAAGAAGAAAAAGTGTAGGAGGTCGACACGCGAGTAAGAAAGGCGCCAAATTTACAAGGCAACCTTGATTTTTCCTCGTGACACGCGACACATTCCACCTTTTCGAAGCGGAAACGATGAAAAACTGGCTAGCCAAGATATATACATCCAGGAATGAGACACGTCGATGGAAGAAAAGAAAAAAAAAAACGAAGAAAAAAAGGGAACAGGAGGTTGAGAAATCCTTATGGGGGGAACAGTCCTTGAAAAAAGTCAACCATCTGCGTGTCTATTCTAAATTAAGCAATTTTTACAGATCAATTTCTTATTTTTATTTATAACTTTGAATTTCGTCACAAACTTCTATATAAATTCCAGAGCTTCTTCTTCGTGATCTATCAGCTCCACAGGATCAACATCGACTCATCGAAATATGAAGTGACATTTTTTGAATGTGCAATTAATAACATTTA